GTGAAAAACATGTAAATTCACATGTAATATAATATGATTATATTCAGATTTTGAAGGGAAAATATGTATTAAAGGAGTTTGTACTTTCAATGTATGTTGCTTTTACAACAAACATCATGTAAAAGTAAAAAAAAGTAAAGCTATCCCTGTAAGAGGCTGTGAAGGCCCATAGGGTTGTGAGACGTTAAGGGTCCCACATTACCTTGACAATCGGCTCAGAGATGGCGGTAAGGTTGTCAGCCTTACGCGCTGACTGCACTTTACTCCCCAGGAAAATTATTTAATTAATTCCTGGTACTCATTTCTGTTAGAGGCTGAGTAAACCCCAGGGCTTAGTGCGACCAGAAGGATTAGGTCAATCGATAAAAATCCAATGACCTCATCGGGACTTGAACCCGCGACCTTCCGGCTTGTAGCATAGTGCCTTAACCACTACAAACATCATGTGTCATGTTATTTTTACCAATATTTTTGCTTAAAGCAGGGTCTGACGATACGAGGGGGTGGTAGATCACTGGCAGTTTTGACACTATAAAGTCGATCACAACCTGTTTGAAGATGGACATGCCTGATCTAGAGGAATGATGGATTAGAGGTTCTCACTGTAGTGACCACGAAAAGTCCAGTCTTCTAAGTTGTAATGTCACATAATTCAGAAGGAACCTGACATTTCAGGGGAATATATCACTTTCATCTTCACATTCAACTTGCTGCCTGATTCTGGTAGTTTCTTGCCTGCCTTACTCTTTGACCCTAAAGATGGGAGTGATACGTTCCTCTGAAATGTTGAAATGTCTCCGAACTACACGGCATTACAATCCAGAAGACTGTATTCTCCTATTTAAATGAACTTCAAAGTGTTACAGAATAAAGATTTACAGAGTGCTTAAATGCCAGTTGGTATATCTAAATATTCCTGTGTGTGTGTGTGTGTGTGTGTGTGTGTGTGGGGGGGGGGGANGCCTCTGAAGTTCACTTCTTTCATGGAGCGTCCAGGCTAATAATTTCTCTACTTCTTTATGTCCTCTTTATCAGCATTAAGAAAACACCTTACATTTTCCCTTCTCACTGAAAAAACAAAACCAACCCTAACTGCCTATAATCTTCAGAAACTAAAACTTAAAAGTTACCATACAAACCTCTGTATAATAAAGAAAATATGTAATTCTAGTAACATAAAATGCATGTAACAGACTGTAACATTTATGGAAGTCACAAGCAGAAGTATCTTTTCCTTGGCTGGGAGATGGTTGTCAGGTCAATACCACATTATAGTAAACTCTCAGTCATCTTGCATTTATGCAGAATGGGCCATTAAAAATAATATGAATCTGCCAGTTGCATTAGTAGTCATACAGAAAACTAAATTTTTCATCAGTCTTGACCCATGTCCATTCTTTTACATACGTTTTACGTTTTACATATGTATTTTCAGTTCCAAAGTCAAAACAGTTTGTCTTCATTTCCTGTGTCAGTCTTCTTGTGTGATACCCTGGATTGACGGTTGAAAGATTCTGGATATGTTGTACTACGATCCCAAATTTGATTAGTCTGTACTGCACTCATGTACCATTATGACTGTAAAGACACCTACATGGTGGAAGACGATGGGCAGTGATGCTAGTGGTGGCTGGGAGAAGTACTTTATGGCAGTCCGAAAAGTAATGTCAGTGAGTCGATTAAAAAACATTTATTGATTAAATCGATACAACACATTAAAAGGCTTCAAAATAGGCTCCTTCTGTGTCGATACATCGCTTCCAGCGAGATTTCCAGGCATCGAAGGCGTCATGGTAGGCCTCCCCTGGAATGTCCTTTAGAGCCTTGGTGCAAGCCTCTTTGACTTCGTCAACTGTCCCAAAATGATGTCCTTTCATGGGAATTTTCAAGCGTGGAAACAAAAAGAAGTCTGGGGGAGCCAGGTCAGGACTGTAGGGCGGCTGGGGAACCGTTGGCACCTTTAAATCGGTCAGGAAGCAGGTCATGAGGAAGGCGGTGTGGGCTGGCGCATTGTCATGGTGAAGTTTCCAATCGTCTGCAATGTCGGGCCGGATGTGATAAACTCTTCGTTTGAGTCTCTTTAGCACTTCCACGTAAAATTTGGCGTTGTTGGCTGTACCATGTGGTACAAACTCATGGTGGACAAGCCCCCTGATGTCAAAGAACACAATGAGCATGACCTTAACCTATGACTTGCTCATTCTGCCCTTCTTGGGGCGAGGGGATGCCTAGGTGTGCCACTCGGCACTTTGCCTTTTGGTTTCGGGGTCATACTCAACACCTAAGTCTTGTCACCTGTGACGACATTGTCTAAAAAGTGAGGGTCACTTTCACAAGTCCAAAAGTTCTTGGCACGTTTCAACTCTGCGCGATTTTTGGTCATCCATTAACACTTTGGTCACCAGCTTTGTGCACACTTTTCGCATCTGCAAATTGTTCGTCACAATCTCGTGAACAGTACTTTTTGGAAAGTTTAATGTCTGTGCCATTAAACGAACACTCAAACTTCAAAAGTTCTCTCACACGCGTCACATTTTTGTCGGTGGTGCTTGTTGATGGCCATCCAGCACAGGCTTCATCGCCGACCTCTTCACGGCCTTCTAAAAAGGCCTTGTGCCACCAGTAGACTTGACGTTCTGACAAACAATCATCACCGAAGGCCGTCTTTATCATGGGAAAAGTTTCCACTGCAGACTTGCCAAGTTTCACACAAAACTTGATGGCAATCCTTTGTTCCAAGGAGCGCTGCATTGTGCCTTGCACGGGAGACAAAAATGAGTTTCGCGGAAAAGCCTTTTGTCACTCTCAGGAAGTTCGGAGACGACTAAGCAACCACGCGTTCATAAGCTGACTTCCCCCTCCACCGATCCCAACCAGGTCTGAGCACGCTGCGACGTATAGTCACTTCACAATAAAATCACTGACATTACTTTTTGGACAAACCCTGTAGGTGCATTGCAACTCTGTTTTTGAAATAAGGTTATAAAAGTGGTAAATTTTCTTTGAAATTTGTGTTGCTTGCATGAGAATTCTGGCTGCTTGGATACTGGATAACTGGGAGTATACTCTATGCAGCAATTGAAATTCTAACAAAGAATAATTTTCAAATTAAGAAATTAAAGTGTGATTAAAAAAAGTCCTGAGAAGCATGATTCGAAACATCCAAAATATCACTGCAATAGTTGCAAATTGCTATAACATGTGGTTACCATGCATGTAAACTTTATTACATCTTAGGATATTCTCTGTTAGGTCAGTGGTAGGAAAAAGACAGAACCCAACAGAAAGTTCACATTTTGTATAATATAACACATATTAAACTTCAGTACAACAAAGTCCAGGGGCACATGGCAGCATAGTTGGTTGAGGCAGTATGCTACAAGCTGGAAGGTTGCAGGTTCGATTCCCGATGAGACAACTGAATTTTTTCAATTTATCTAATCCTTCCAGCTGAAATATGGCCTTGGGGTTGACTCAGCCTCTAACAGAAATGAGTACCAGGAAGATTCCTGGGTGGTAAAGGATGCCAGGTGTGTAAGGCTGACAACCTTACTGCTATCTGTGAGCTGACTGTCTAGAAGATGTGGGAGCCTCAACCTCTCACATCCCTATGGGCCTTCATGGCCTGTTACAGGGACAGCTTTATCTTTTTACCTTTATAACAAAGTCCAACAATTTGGACAGTCTGATTCTTATTTTATGCAGATTGTATGGCTTGTGATGATTGAATAGGCAACATTTATCATTTAATACAGCAACACATGAGAGGTGCATACCTTGGCCACATATGGCCCACAGGCTGCATGTTGGTAATATGTACACTCTGCTTCAGTTGGTCAAACTATATAGCATTTGTATTCAGTTACCACCTTCATTGCCACGCCCCTGCACTGCTGTGGCAGTCATCTTTCCACAGAAACTTGATTTTGAACTGTTACATTTGAAATAGAAATAAAATCAAACAAATAACTGTCAATCACTGTATATTTAAAGTATGTTAAGCTTGACAAGATACAATTAAAAGACTTTCTGAATCTGAGTGACATCTGTAGGAGGAAATTACATTTATGTACACAATGACCATAACCAGTCACTTGACAGGATTGGAGTGAATGGATTAGTAACCTGAATAAATAATCTAGTCTACAAATCTGCTCAAATACATCACAGATTGTAATCAGAAGAGTTGTATACCTCATATTAACAATGATTACAACATCACTTATGCAGGATATGCACAAAATATGATGCGAGGAGGGAACTTTTTACAAACACTGTTAAGTACAATCGGGGAGGGATCTGTAAGGCTGTTTGTTTTTACATTTCTGAGAAGATTGTCAAAATTTTTGAAAGTCACTGGTACAAATGAAGCCCTTATCATATGGAAAAGTTATCAGCTGTCCAAAAACAAAAAGGAGGATATCAAATGAGTCAAAATCTTTATCAAAATGCTGCATGACGATTTCAACAAAGATACCCATGAATAATTATTCCAACCATCAACATCTACTCTGTCATAAGGAAGCAATTCTTATGAAGAGTACACCTGGGATATAACAAAGTTTAGTCCAGTATAAGTACAATGATGTTTTGGAGGAATGTGCAGTCTGCATCATCAGGGTTGAGGGATAAGCAAGACAAGCAGGAAATTAGCATGAAGCAGGTGGTAAGCAGAGTACTGATGGGCTTATACTGGACTACTTGGCATTATATCGCAGAAGATTGTATTCTTGATAATCACTGCTATGAGAATGTCAAATCTGGAATGTTCTGTGCATGCTTTTCTGCTGAAATATAAACTGACATACAAGTATTTTTCAGCTCAACAACTGTACTTATTCTCCATATATATACTATCACAGTCAATAAGTTCGTGGAATGGTGCAAATTTTTTTGTCCTATGGGAATTTACTGCCAATATGTTTCAGCAATGTTTTCGACAGCTATATCAACGTTGGCAGACTTGCATAGCGGCCAACTATTTTGAGGGCCGATGGGGATCTGCGAAAGTGTATGTGAATACCTTGTAATATGATGCGCTAAAACCACACTCCACAAACTTAATGACTCTACCACGCATGTGCGTGGCCAATTCAATTGTACCAATGAAAGAAAAATATCAATCAAAATTAGGCCAAATTCTCAGTGGGCTGCATAAATTTCGATATTTTAAAAACAAAACATGAACTTGACATGAAGAGGATCATGTCGAAGATCAAGTTTCCTCTTGAAGTTGTAACTCAGAACTGAAATTTGTACTGAAGATCTATGTGTCTGTATATATATATACATATCACATTGTTGGCTGGAAACATAACAAAAAAGCTTCTAATATATAACAGAACAGATATAAACCTTGCACAAATTAGACACAATATATCATCAGTCTTACCAAATCGACACTGGATTAAGTCTGTGAAACGATATGACTATGATGGCCCAGCCTTCTCCAGCTCCATTGATAGCCTTGAGATTTCTCTGCCTAGGGTGTCGATATTTTCCTATTCAAATAGAATATTTTTGTAAACAAATACAAGAAAATATATCTTGAATAGATCTGAAATGAAACAAGAAAGAAAAAAGCACTCCTCAATTTATGCAACAGTCGTGTTCCAAAGAAATTTGCAGATGATGAAATCAAATAAATCTAAAAATAATTTTCTCTTCTCCTTTTGCATCCTTCTTTCACTGACCACACAATCCTCTGCTCTCTCTTCTTCAAGCCTCTTTTTATTGGCTGATAAGCAATTCACATTAAAGCAAGCCACTAACTCAAATCAGTTTCAATTAGCTGTGCACAATCAAAATAAATCACATTTTTCAAAACTGCTTGTAACAAGGAGTGCCTGTAATACAAATAAGTTACTTTAGTGATAAAGCTTTAGACTTATATTTGTGAGGTGTTTGGCTTGAATCTTGGCTGGATTACTATACTGACCAAGATTTACATGGCTTTCCTCAGTCCATCCAGATAAATTCTGGGATAGTGCTTAATTAGGCCACAACCACTTCCTTAAAAATCCTTTCCAATTTATCAACCATTAGATCTCATGCTACTATCACATTGTTCAAAATCTTTTCCATCTGATCAATCATCATATTGCCCCATGCTATATAGTCTAAATACTTAAAGTACCATAAAATAAACCCTTAAGTACGAGGGCGAGTCAGTAAATAGGTCACAAATGGAAGTAAAACAGCTCTAATGAATGTAATAAAATTTCTATTAGTATCAGTAAGTAGCAGCACAGTCCAGCTTTATGACAATCTTGGTAGCAGATGTACATGTTCAGAGGCTGGTTTCAGTAGTCAAAATGGCAACCGTGCCTGAGAAGTGTACTACTGAATATCAGCAATGCAAAGTATATTTGTAAAGATATGTTTTCTGTTTATGGTGTAAAGCGGTTCAAAACTGGGTCAAGAAACGTGGCAAACATTTCACTGATGATGAAGAGGCTGAAATGGAGGTGTGGAAGTGGCTGAGTCAACAGTCAAGAGATTTCTATGCTGTGGATTTCGATGCACTGGTAAAGTGATGGGGATAAGTGTATCAGTGTTGGTGGAGGATATGTCGAAACAAAAACGTTTGTTTCCAGGTTTGGATATCACATGTTTTACATTTTACATCCATTTGTGACCTATTTATTAACTCTCCTTCATAATATGGACAACTTTACATGAACACTAACAAACAAATTTTAATCTGAACCCTAATTGATGGAAGATAAAGTAGTTTGTACCAGCTTTCTTTCTTTTCTGCCCCTTTTGCTCACTTCTAACCACAAGAATGACACATATGATGCACTAGGAAAAGTCTTGACTTTTGACAAGTCTGTAAGCAAGCAACAATGTGTTTACTGGCACACATACCAATTGGAAAGCAGGTACTTGTTTCTTTGCTCACTCACAGATGTGCACACACATGCACATGTATCACTGTTTACAAAATTTGTTCTATTCATAAACTTCTAATAGTAGTACAGTGGAACCTCGCTTAACGAGCAAAACAAATTGTAAAAAAAGACTCGCTTAACGAGCGACGTTTTGCATAACAAGTGACGAGAGGGAAAGTCCCGGACTGTGCGCTTGCTACATCAGTCTGTGTTTAGCACTTGTTCCGCTAGCATCTTAGTGTCGCTTGTGATCACACATTTTTCCAAACTTGTGTTCAGACATATTATTTGTGATTTTTTGTGCAAAGTTTAATAACCCTTGCAAAAATGTCCCTGAAGAAAAAGCCGCAAAAAGACAGCCATAAGAGAACAAAAATAACCATAGAAATGAAAGATAAAATCATTGAAAACCGAGAACGAGGTGTGAGTGTGGCTGTTCTAGCACACACATACAATCGGTCTACATCAACAATTTGCACAATCCTCAAGAACAAGGAGAAGATTAAGGAGATATGTGCTTCAAAGGGAGTGACAAGAATATCTACGCAATGGTTACGTATTCTC